CTTTTATCAGTTGCACTTGATACCACACCCTTTTCAAACCAGTTCTTGTCTTTCCGTTCACTTTCATTGAATTTGAATCAATTTATCCTGTACCAGTCCCAATTCAGAACCCCCCTTCTACTCTATCCTCTCCTGTGTTATCACCTTCACCTTCTAATTAGATGTCTCTTTATTCATGATATCTTGTTTCCCATACCAATGTCAACTGCTATCCATCTCCTAGCCTCTACCTTTCCATCTGACCTTCATCAAGTTTGAAAGTGCCCTGCTCTCTTTTAATTTCCTTAACGCATCAATCACATATTATATCACCTCCTGGTCCGGTACAATGCCCTGTCTTTCATATTATTATCTATCCATTGAAATCCTAGCTAATTCTCTGCTTTTGTAATTATCTCATATCAATCCCATTCTTATATTCCATTTATAACCCCCATTGATATCAATTCCTGCTGATCTACCTTTGCTGTCCTCCACTATACAATCTTTTAATGTAAATTGTTTCTTACACTTTCTATTTAGTATTCATTCTTCCCTATTCACTCCTTCCCTTTCTCTCCTGTTTTGCGGTCCTACCTTTTCCTGTATTGTCTTTTCCCTTCTTGCATTTACATGTCTTGACTTGTCCAATCTTCTTTCCTTTTTCTTTATTTTTGCCTATTGTGTTCTATAATAACCTATATTATCTATCCTTCAACTTCTTCTATTTTCTCTGTTTGACCCCCTTTCATTGTGTATTGACTTCTTTTATTTTCTTATCTTTTAATTTTTTAATTTTCTTTTCTTTGAACCGTAGCCCACATGGCCTTTACCTTTGTTCATTATCTCTTGGTTTTGGGTACCAATGCCAACTGATATCAATACTGTCTTTCTTTATCACACCTCATGACTTCCAAGGGCCTGTTCAGGCTGCCCTAACCCAAAAAACAGTGCATGCACAACACTTCAATTTGCTCCTCAGAAACAGGATAACCAATTTATTCTATCAATACTTATGATTTCAACCCTTCCAACCCCTCATCTGTTGTTTTACACAGTCTAAATCAGAAACAGCATGGGCATCAATAAATACATATTAGTATTTTTTAAAGTTTCTTGTGTTGTGTTGTGTGGTGTTGTTTTGCTTTGCTTTGTTTTGTTTTGTTTTGTTTTGTTAATTGCCTATTTGACCCAAATTTTGGAAATTAACAATTGTTTTGTTGCCTTGTTCTGTAACACATTCCATATTTGAAGTGTAACAGTCTGGTCATAACATCTGGTCTGAAAGATCAATCCCATATTATATCACCTCCTGGTCTGGTACCACTCCCTGTCCATAGTTACATCATCTACTAATCTGAAACCCCTACCCAATTAAAAGTTTGTTATTTCACTCACCTCATATCATGTATCATTTCCTCTTCCACTACCTCCCTTGTTTTTTCTCCTAATATCTCTTCATCTGAATAGTTTTCTTCAATCCTCCCTCTTCCCTACTCTATTCTCCCAGCATTCATCACATTATCCCATTGAATCATCATTCTTACCATTCATTCTTATATTCCACTAATCGCAATTGATATCAATTCCTGCTAATCTAACTTTGCCGTCCTCCACTATATAATCTCCCAAAGTAAATTCTCTTCTTACATTCTCCATTCATTAATCCCTCTTTCCCTTTCGTTCCTTTCCTTTCTTCTCTTGGGTTGTATTTCATCCTCTTGTGTTGTCTTTTCTCTTCTTGCCTTTCCTTGCCTTGACCTGTTCACTAACACATACCATTTATTCCTCAAGTGATTGTCTCATCTTCTATCTTCTCTCTCTGGTTTTCTTCTACTGTGTATTGACTCCTTGACCCTCTTATCTCATCCTTCTTTCATTTTCTTTTCTTTTTGAAGCATAGCCCCTTGGGCCCTCGAGCTCAGGGCCACAGGGCCAAGATCCCAAGGATTCATTGTCTGGGGGGGGGGGGGGAATACCCCCAGGCCCCCCCACTGAGCCCAGGAAACTGTACAGGTTTTGATTTTGGCCTGTACTCGGCCCCCTTCAAACAAAACACAACCCAAGACGATCCAAGCTACCACCCTCAACAACACCTCCACACAACCCACCCACACACCCACCCACAAAACAAATCGACCGGACAATCTGAAACCCCCAGACCCAGAACTGTAGCGCCGACCACACGACCAAAAACAAACAGCGAATAAGGCCCTACCTCCTGGACAAATAAGGCTCACCTGTGCGTTTGTTTTTGCGATCAAATCTCATCCAAACCCAGGTATGTTATCCTTCTTTCCTTCTTCTTCTCCCCAATACCAGAAGCGGTCCAACTGACCCCTTTTTTGACCTGCTTTAATCGGATGTGCATTCGTTCTCGCAATCGCTGCTTGGAAGGAGACACAGGTACAAAAGGAACCAACCCCCCACCCCACACAACTTGGTTCACAGTCCGATAGACTGGTTTTTTGTTTCCGCGATCGAAGCCGACAGTCATCCAAGGTGAGGATTTTTCTTTCTATTCATGTCAATCTATGAAGGGTTCGAGATTCACCTCTCCTTGGTTCACATCCGAAAGACTGACTATCTATTTGCGCGAACGAAACCAACGCCATCAAAGGTAAGCATTTCTTCGCTTTTCATCTCATCCCATCAAGGGTGAATATGGACCCGTCCTCGGATCACAGTCTGATAGACCGACTTTCAATTTCCGCGATCAAAACCAACACCATCGAAGGTAAGGATTCCCCCCCTCCCATCTCAACTTATGAAGGGGTCAACTTCGAATCACAGGCTAATTGACTTTCTTCCTTTTTCCGCCATCGACAGGTTACAAGGTGAGTGCCTCTTGCTCGACCTTGGTTCATCTGTTGGAGGGGTCTATATAGACCCCCTTTGAATCAGTCTAATCGACTGTTTTCCTTTTTCCGCGATCAACAGGTGATCAACAGGCTTCCAAGGTGAGTTCCACCTCGACTCTGGTTCATCTGTTGGAGGGGTCTATTTTGACCCCCTTTGAATCACAGTCTAATCGACTGACTTCCTTTTTCCGCGATCAACAGGCGATCAACAGGCTTCCAAGGTGAGTTCCTCCTCTACTCTGGTTCATCTGTTGGAGGGGTCTATTTTGACCCCTCTTTGAATCACAGTCTAATCGACTGTCTTCCTTTTTCCGCGATCAACAGGCGATCAACAGGCGGTTATCCAAGGTGAGTTCCTCCTGCTCTAGTTTGGCTCATCTATTGGAGGGTCGATATCGACCCCTCATTGATTCACAGGCTAATCGACTGTGCTCTTATTTCCGCAATGGACGGGGCTTCAAAGTGATTCCTCTCGCTTTACCACTGTTCATTCTGATCATTCGAAGGGATCAATATTGACTGCCCCATGAATCACAGTCTAATCGGCTCACTTTCCGTTTCCGCGATTGACAGGCCATAAGTTGAGTTATTCCGCTTTTAATTCTATTCATCATCTGAACAGGTCAATATTGACCCAACATTGAACTACAGTTCAATTGACTCACTTCTGGTTTCCGCAATCGAAAGGTGATAAGTTGAGTTCTTCTTTGTTTAATTCTGTTCATCATCTGAAGGGGTCAGGGTCGATATTGACCGCCGTCAAATCACACTCTAATCCCTTCACTTCTGGCTCCCACGTTCCACAGGTGTTTCTACCTTGCGATTGACAGCACAGCCTAATGGACTGCCCCTTCACTATCGCGATCTAGATTTAATCGGAGGTCTGTTCTCATCCGCAATCACAAAAACGACCGAGCTACTTTCCACACCCCAATCCATCAATACCAGCCACAGAAACAACATACACACATCCTGGTGGGTTGCGGGTTTGCCATTGCGTTTGACTATCTTAAAGGGCCAAGACTCAATACCGTCGTTTTCTGTTCATCATCATCAACTCCAGCCGGGAGCTCATTCTAATCAACTGTAACCTTGATTCTGCATTCAATAGTCGACTATCTGAGGTGAGTTTATTTTTCTTGTCTTCCACTTCATTCATTGAAGGGCCCATACCGACTGCTTTTTTGTACACAGTTCAATAGACTGATTTGCCTTTTCCGCGACCAAAACTGACAGCATTCAAGGTGAGGGTTCCTTCCGCTTTTCACCCCATTCGCTTAAGGGGTCAATATCAACCCCTTATGAGGTCACAGTCTGACAGACTGTCTTCAAGTGTCCCTTATCAGAATAGCCAGCTAAACAAGGTCAGTGTGTCTTTCATATTCACCTCGGTCTATGAATGGGTTGACACCGACCCCTCCCCGGCTCACAGTCTGATAGACTGGTTTTCTGTTTTCGTGATTGAAGCCGGCGGCCACTCAAGGTGAGGCTTTCTTCCTCTGTTCATCTCAATCTATGAAGGGGTATATATTGACCCCTCCTTGGTCCACAGTCTGATAGACTGGTTTTTCCATACCCGTGATCGGTCAGGTGAGGCTGTCTAAAGGTATGTGTCACCCTTCCTTCCATCTCAGTATCTATGAAGGGGTCAATAATGACCCCTCCTTGGCTCTTTCATGTATGATTGGGCTCCAGATATCAAGTTTTGCTCAAGTGAGAGGCTGTATGGTTTTGGACTTACTTGCCTTGTTCATTTTGTCTTTTCTGAAGACTGAAACAGAAGACCAAATCCCATACCCAATAACATCAAACAGGTTATATTTAGAGTGTTCTGCCAACAACTGTCCAAACACAGGTGTGTCTTCCCATTCATCTTCTCCTCTCCACCTCTTTTCCCCACCTGTCATTGCTAAACCCTGTATGTTGTTTCATCTACATCCCGATTTCTGTGACAGTCAATATAAAGCAAATCAGGTTGGACGGCCCCTTTTGTTCACATCAAGTTTTTTTTTGTCCTTGCAATTGAGGTATGATTGAAGAGGGTGGCTTTGCTGTGTCTTCATCTGGCTTTCATGGTTTGATTTTGTTGTATTGGAGCCACCTGCTTTTCCCTTATTTCTTACCCATCCTCCTTGTTGACAAATCATGTGGCATATGTTAATTGTTTTATTTGATTGTTCATGATTAGGCTTGTTTCATTCTAAATACAATTGGTGCTACATACAATACAATACTGCAATCAAAATTCTGGCCCTAAATTTGTCAGCCTCTCATGTTCCACATCACTCCAGTGCATCTGCCGCCCAGTATAAAATTGGGTGAAACCTGACCTCAGTGGTTCATATTCTCTAGTGTATCTCCACATTGGTTATTGGACTGCACAATAACATAGGTGTGTTTTTCTGATTCTTCTATGGTCATGTACATTCCCATTAACTATAAAAGGGGGCCATTACTGACCACCCCTGGTGGTACATCTTCATTATTTTTTACTCCTGATTTCTTCATTGAAGAGTGAGGTTCAAGTGTGAGTAATTCAACTTCATTTGAGGGTTTCCTCCGGATTATAAAAGGGGTTGGTACTGCTACTGATTATTGTTTTAAAACTGGCAAACTCTCCCTCTTGACACCAATAGGGTTTGTTGTGATTTTTTGCCTTGAGTCTCTGACGTTACCTCTTTACTATATAAGGGCCTATACTGACCAGTCTTTTTGTGCAATTTTAACTGGTTTGACTTTTGATTCAGAACATCAGCTGGAACATAGGTGAGTCTTGATCATGCTGCTTCTCCATCATTCACCAATCCTTGACGCTCTACTCTTTTCCAATATTTTGTTTCCTCTTATACAAACTCAGAATGAATGGGACTGATATTCTGTGTTCTGCTCCTGTTTTAGAATATTTAGAAGCAACCAATCAATCAGTTTGCTGCTTGAACTACTCACAGTCACCAAGAAAGGTCAGATTATATCCATTCTTCTGTTGATCATATGACTTGTGATCTGATTTAAAGGTCGATTTCATTCTTTTGAACAGAATACCAATACCAAAACCCAAAAACATATATATCTTTAAAAGCAAAAAAAAATTCCAGCTAACATCATGTAAGTAAATTTTGAATGCTTGACTTTGGACTGTGGTGAAATCTGATAAGATTATTTTATCATTTGTCAACTTGTAGGACTACATCAAAACCGGCCAACAATGGTTACGAGAGCCCTACATCTCCTCTGACGTCCCTGGAGCCTCTCTCACGTGACGATAATCCGATGATCGGTGGCCCAACGCAAGAAGTCATGTCATCCTCGCCTCCGTCTGAGCCCCGCGAAGAGCTACCCATGATTGGAGGGCCAACTCAAGACCTGACGTCACCAGTGGCATCGGCACCAGCTACAGTGCGGAAGCCTGTGGTTGTGGTGAAGAAGACTCCTATAGGAAAGACTAGTACGGGGAAGGACCTCTTTGATACTATTGAGTTGATGGTAAGTTGGAATGCTCTTTTTGACTATCCATGATGTGTTTCCCTGACCGGCAAGGTTTGTATTCAGAAGGGCCTGAAGCGTGTTGAGGTCAAACAGTCAGAGGGGAGTCGGACTGGAGCAGGAGGCTCGGTGAGTTGCATATTCTTTATCTTGTCTGTGAATTAAAGAAAAAGGCTGACACAAGACATTTTGTTACAACCGGGTTCAAGGAGAAGTCTGGTGATCCGGGGGACTCTGTGTTGGTAACTAGTGATAAGTGGACCAAGATCCAGGGAAAAAGGATTACTGCGCCCAAGGAGCAAAGCACAATAACTCCAACAAAGGTAGTCTCTGTTTGATTTCTTTTGTGGTTTGAGTTTGGAGTTTTTTAATCTTTGCTGCGGCATTTGACAGGCTCTGACATTTGGCGAGAAGAAGCTGGCAGCAATGAAGTAAGTGGCCTATGTCATCAACATACTTTGAGGATGTTTGTCTGACTGGCATGTATTTGTTTCCCAGGAAAAACCTTACGGCTGTCCAATACCGGACTACCCCGCAGCAAGGTATTGCGTTGGATCCTCAACTCTCTGGCGATGAAAATGGGAATAAGGGGAAGAAGGGCAAGGGGAAGAAGAAAAAGGTGTGTTTGTCTCCTTTTTGTCAGCTAACATACCTTGTAACTTATAACTTTTGGATCTGTTTGTCCACCAGGCATCTCCGGCAAAGAAGAAAAAGGCCACAGCGTGAGTACCAGTGTCTCCTGTTGTATCTAACTGTCTGGAGATATCTGACTGGAATCTTTCTTGATCTCAGCATAAGCCTGCCCACAGATGTAGATGCTCTGGAGCCAGTTGGAAGCTCTGCAGTACCTGTGGAAGAAAAGGTGTGTTTGTTTTCTCTTTTCTTGGTTACAGTTTGTACAATTGGTAAACTGAAATGTTTGATTACTGCTGTTCAACAGGCTCCTGCTGCAAAGAAGAAGAAGGCTCCATGGTAAGCTATGTGCTGTTCTCTTTGATTTGATTTGGGTTGATATATCTGACCAGTGTTTTTCCTGATGGACAAGTTTGCCACTGGTACAAGATGCTCAAGGTCCAGTTGCTGGTGCTGCAGTCACTGGGAAGAAAAAAGTGTGTTTGTTTACTCTTTGATTTTTTACGTTTGGCAGATCTGTCAATTGAGATTAGTTGGATTTGGTTTTTCAACAGGCTTCTCTGGCAAAGACAAAGAAGACCACAGGGTAAGCATTGATGTCTTTCTGCTCATTTCATCTGGAGTGAGATATCTGAACTATGATTTCCCTCATCTTAGGAATTGCCCAGCACCAGTTGAGAAGGCTGCGGGGTCTGTTGGTCAACCCGGAGGACCAGGAGGAAAAGATATTCCCAAGTGAGTGCTCATTCATGGCTGCCCTCCCATTGACATGTTGGGGGCTGACTCTTCTGTAAATTGTGGTAGGAAATCACTGGCCCCTCAACCAGACTTGCCCGGTTCAGCTGATCTTGCCTCAAAGGACACTGCTCAAGTTGGCAAACATGCAGAGGAGCCTTGCCTGGCAACTGTGAACGAGCGATTGGACGTGGATGGTGGTCGGGATACATTGGAACGAACTAGGACTGGTGTGGCGGTTGGCGAGTCAGGAGCGCCTGCAAAGACGACGATCAGCAAAGGGCCACCAGATGACGTTGGACAATCAACACATTTGGCGAGTCAGTTGGCTGTCCCAGCGGTTCCACTCTCTCAACCAGCTTTGGAGAAATTCACCGGGGTCGGCCTGGACAACTCAACACAAGATGGCCTTGACACGGTTGGTTGGTCTGCCGGGGTGTCAGTTGGATTGGCTGGCATGGTTGGGAATAATGCTGCCATGGTGGACCGGCCAGATCAGCCTGAACCGTCGATGGACTTGGAAGACTTTACAGCGACACAGGATGGACTGATGAGGATGCTTTCAGGATTAGAAGTGGGTTGTTTTTAACATTCATGGATTTGGCTCATTTGCTT